ATGAAATTTTGGAAATTAGTTACAACATTTGTGATTTTCTAGAATTCTAAACAATTTCGTTACGCCAATTAGTGATGCAGTTATGTATTTTCTATTTTATATCACAAAACTTTGTGACTTGATTACAATATTATGGTCTGTTTGATAACTATTTCGTTTTTAGTTTTCAGTTTATATTTATAAAAATTTTAAAAACTGTCATAAAAACTTGTTTGATCATTTTTTTTGGTTTTTAAATGATTGTCTCAGTTTATAAATTTGAGGAAAAAACGTGAACTCAAAAAATGAGTTTACGTTTTCAGTTTTTAATTTTTTTTTCAATTAATTTATTTTCAATTATTTTTTTCAAATGATTTTTTTGAAATAATTTTTTTTCAAATAAATATTTTTTTAATTATTATTTTTCAATTATTTTTTTTCAAATAATTTTTTTTCAAATAATTTTTTTTTCAATTAACTTTTTTTTCAAATAATTTTTTTTTCAATTATTTTTTCAATTAATTTTTTTTTCAAATATTTTTTTTTCAATTAATTTTTTTCCCAATTAAATTTTTTTTCAATTATTTTTTTCAATTATTTTTTTAATTAACTTTTTTCAATTATAATGTGTGTGATCCCATTGTTATAAATAATAAAAATAAATATAAATATTTTAGGCCTGAACAAACATATTTTTTAATTTATATTTTTAAAATTTTGTAAACATTTGTTCAAACCAAACGCGTTTGTAATTTATGTTTTTCTAAAAATAAACAAAAACCAATTTAATAAAATTTTTGTAAACATAAACTAAAAACGTAAACGTTACCAAACGCTACCTTATAGTTTCTAAAATTTTGTCTATTATGTTTACGCCAATTTATGGTGTGATTATACATTTTGTAATTGATGAGTAAAATATTTTTTTTTTAATTTTACTTAATAAAAATATATGAGAATTTATATTAAAAATAAATAAAAAAATTTAAGTATAAATTGATAAAATTATAAATTAATAATTTATTTTATTATAAGACTCTAATTATTTTAATTTTTTTTATCATGATATTACAAATTCCCCCAAATAATTCGCCCAAAAAGAACAACATCCAAAATTTTCCAAATTTTGTGAAAATCAAAATTCCCTCCTCTTCATGACAAATCCCTCAGACCCTTTCTTCATCCCAAACGTCTTCAAAAGCTACTCTCTCTCTCTCTCTCTCTCTCTCTGCCATTGCCACGGCCGAGACCTTTTTCGCCGCCGCATCCTCTACCACGGAGAAAAGCTCCCAAAGCTGTTGACAAAGATCTCTATAGAATCTCGCCAGAGCTCCTTCTCGCCAAGCACCGAAGAGTGAGTTTATTCTGCCCTTTTCTTTTCCTCCTCGTTTTAGCAAGCTACATGCCTCAATGTATGTCTCTCTTTCTCGCTCTGCTACTTGTTTCTCTCCCTTTCTCCATCTCCATTCTATGAAACCCTAGACCGAAATCCCCTTCTTCGAAACTGCCCCTTTCACCTTTGTGAACTCACTGGGTTGGTTTATAAAATTAGGAAAATATGATTTGAATAGGTTTAGGTTTTTTATGTTTGTTAGTTGTGTTGATTCCATATATATATATATACACTTGAAATTTGGCTTGTGTGAAATCTGATGTGTGGGTAATTGAATTTTGTAACCATGTAACTGATATGAGACTAATTTTTTATTTGCTTATTGAAATCTGTTTATTTTTCTAACAATTACTCGTGGTGGCTTGATTTTCCTATGAGAAACAAAATTAAAGTGGTTTGGATGTATTGAGAAACGAATGGATATTTTAATGTTACTGTGTAAACCCATTAAGGTTGCTTTCATCCGACTCACCCAGACAAACAATTGGATATTGTAAGTTCATGAAGATGCATTGATAATTCTTTGTCACATTTCCCTTTACAAGTTATTGACCATAAGTTTTCTGAGTTTCTATAGCTTGAATAGGGACATTTGTTTCTGCTTCTCATTTTTTCATTTGTTCCTCTGTTATTGCATGATGTAGTCCTTCTGGTCATTGGTGCTTTTGACTCACTATAATATTCCCTTTTCGCAGTTACAGCTGCATATTTTGCCTCTAAATTTGAGGATTTTGATTTGGTTGTTTATACATATTACTTGGCTATAATTCTGACATATTTTTGCCATACTGCAGGTTGAATCTGAGTACCTCCCTCTGTACACTAACTATGGTCTAGGTCTTACCACTTGGAGTCCACTTGCATCAGGAGTTTTGACTGGAAAATATAACTCTGGAACCATCCCACCTGATAGTCTGTTTGCATTGGAAAATTACGAGGTAAACCTATTTGGAAGTTACAATTTTGTTTGCTGAAGTACCTATTTATTTATAGTTTTATCATAATTTATATTTGGCTTAGTTAAATTTGCACTTGAGTCTCCTGTAATTTTTGGTGAATGTGCTCTCTGCATAATTCATCTTTTATCTTTGTTATCTTGCTTTATTAAAATAAAAACTTGAAGACATTCATCTGTGGGTGGCTAAGTATTTTTTATGTGAAATATATGGATGCATAGATTCTTTTGTGAAGATATATTGGCATATGCAATGCTACATTAATTTCTGTAACATGGGATAGTAATCCCAGTTTTCATTGAGTAGATAAACTAGGTTGCGAGAGAACGGACAGCACTCTCTTTCCTCCCCTCTTTTTCTGTTGAGCACTGCTTCTTCTTTTTTTTTTTTTTTTTTCTCGTTCTTCGTTTGTATCACCCTTTACATGGTAGAATCTCATTCTTTTTGGTTTTCTCCTTAATTTTCTCTTCAATGCAATGTTCCAATCACAAGCATCCTTTTAGGATGTGACACAAAAAAGGTGAAACTCACCATTTAAAAATAACATTTTGATTTAGTTTTCTTTTCCTTCTAAATCTTCAAATTTCAGAATTTATCACCAACTTGGTTTGGGAAATGAAATCAAAGCCAGAAAATCAGAGAAGTTGGGGGACTTGGTGGCTTACATCCACCATTTGGGGACATTGATTGTCAGCATCTATACAAAAGTCCTAGTCTAGTTTTCATATCTCTTTTCTGCTCCAACCAGAGCATTTTTTATGCAAAGTTGATCTTACAACCCATGCATTTTTTTAGATTATTGAACATGCAAGTTGAATTGGTCTGATAGGCACTCCAATTTACTTAATTGTTGATTTGTGATGGGGTTTAATGTGTTATCTGTGTGTTGGTGTGTAGGTTGATTATGTAATCATCATTGGCTCCTATTTCTTATTATCTACCAGTAATATAGTTGGAATTTGCATTTTTTTTTCTTTTTTCATTTCAGTTTTTTAATTTTCATGGCTCCGAGTGCTGAGAAGTGCAAATAGGATTACTGGATTATGTGGAACATCTGTATCTGGGTATCTACCGTAAGAGTCTCACGTCAGTTTTGTCTTAAGGGTGCAATTCTGGGTTCTGTGGTTTTGTTTTGTTTTTATTTGATTTTCTCTGCCTAGGTTGGTTTTGTATTTCAGAGCTCATGCTTTTGCAAATGGATTTCGCTTGTGAAGTTTTGTCATTCTTTTAACAATTTTTTCTTCATGAATTGTTTGTGTTAGTGAAATAGATTTTCTTCTAAACTAAGAAATGAAAAATAGAGAAAAGACCTAAAAATTAGGATACGGGTACAACCAACATACATTCGTAAAATATATATATAATTTTTAGTATTGTATTATATATAAACTCAAACCATTTTTGAGCCAATGGCCAACCACTTTATGCTTTTTTAGTAGGTCCTACAAAAATTTCATTTCAATATCAAATCTACATTGTTTTTATTGTCCTTGTACATTTTGTTTTTATTCTTTATATGTCACATGCAATAGTGTTGTACACAAGTTTACTTGCTTGTTTAACTCCAATTTTAGTGTGAAACAAATAATAAATAAATAAAAATATAAAATTTCTGAAACCTCAATAGCATCAAAAATTTCGAGAATTGCTGATAATTCCCCACCTACAACTTTGAGTGTAAAGTCCATGTTTTTCTGTGGCAGAATCATAGGGGGAATTGTAGTATCAAAAATCAAGTGCATAGTAATTTTTCAAAATTTTATATAATTCTTTTTATGATGACATGATAAATATATGAATATTTGCACAAATTTGAGTGATTTATCATGAAGATGACTTCCAAAATGTTGGAAACTAGACTAATAAGTTCAAAGAGGGACAAAGATACAAAGTACCCACCTTTTCCATCAAAGAATAACAAACAGCCCCAAAATATGGAAACTCGTCAACTAGTGGTTTGAAAATTAATCTAAAAACTGCCGTGAATCCAATATTTTGACCTAGATGAAAATATATATGAAAAAAATATTAAAGTGGCATCTTATGGTAAAATTCCAATAACCGAACATTCTTTACTTTATATCATGTTATCCAATTTTTTAGTCACCTATTATTCTTCAAAGAGAGTGAAAGAGAACACATTGATTATCTATAAAATAAGTATTAGAAGTACTATACACACAAAAAATAAATAAATAATATAAATAAATAAATAAAATGTGAAAATAAAATAAATTTGAGAGTAGTTTTTAATAGTTTTGCTACTAGGAAAAGTTTTATTGATATGAGAAATAAGTTGAAGATCACCTATATAGGTAATCCAAAGCCGACTCTAGTTTTAACATCAAGTATGATACTTTTCCTATATGGTGAACTGCCAGTCTCCTTGATGTACTGGTTTACTGTATGGTGAACTGTTCTGGTTTCTGATTTCACGTAGGCTCTGTTGTTTTGAACTGCCATTCTGGTGTTGCTGCTATTTGAGGTGTTTTGTTTGCCTCAGTTTTGGTGTGGCCTCAACTGTTGGCCTTGTCTGGTTCTGTTAATTCAGCTTCTGCTTATTCTAGTTTCCTTATCTATCTGTGCTATTCTCTGTTTGATTTGTGGGTGGCTGTTCTTTGTTTGATCTGTTATTTGGGGGCTGTTATTTAGATGCCATTGTAGTGCTCTTGTAGTTTGGTCATAAGTTGGAATGTTCATCAGTTTTCCCAAGAAAACATGCATGGAATTCTTTGAAGCCCAAATTCTGTTGTGCCAATGTTCTTTTTAAGGATATTTTTTGGCTTATCGGATGCCACTGCCAGTGTTATGTCAAGGCCATGCTTCCATATCACTTTTTGTTGTCTCAGTAATATCAGATGCCTGCTCTGCATAAGTATTCCTGCTCTGGGTGTTGTGTCTGGTTGTTGGTTGGTCTGTTTTTTTTCTTTTTTTCTTTTTTCTCGACTTCCTCATCAAAGATCAAATAGAAATCAAACAAACCCGTGAATTGTGCAGCCACAGTACCAAGAGTCAACTTTTAAAACTTGAGAGATGATAAGATAACTGATCTATATTGTTCAAGAATTGGCTTAGCAGAACTTCGAATTAGCTCTGATGTTGCCTATGCCACCATGTGTCAAAATTGAAGTAATTTAAGTAAAATAAAATAAAATGCTTTCATTATCATCACATTGAATCCAACAACAAATAAAAGGGTAAACTACCAATATGTCCTAATAACTGTCATTATTAGCATCATCAATGATCTTCATTGATATAGGGTGTGGTCCACATCACATCAAGTTAAATCTATACCAAACATTCAAATTCTAGGAACTTTTCTACGTATAAATAATTTATGTTAAACAAGAATTATAACCAAAGTCATAGTTGTTGTCATTTATAATTACTCACTTTATGATATATAACTTCATGTAACTATAACATATTGATTGATGTTGGCTCAAATCATTTGGAAAATCCACTCCCACATTTTTATTATATTTTGAATTTTTTTGGAAAATAATAAGCTAGCACAAAAGAAGAAGAAAATTATAGCGATCCCGGGTTTACCCTTGTTGTACAGTGATCCGGACATGTGTCTGTGGATGATAGTAGTTGATTATTACCTAGTGTACATCCTTTCTTACTTTGTATTTGGGTTATAGGATGTATTGGGCAGGTTTGTTAAAGGTTGGTTGAGTTTAGAAACCAAAACTAGTTGCCCAGATTTTGACCGGTCCCTCGAGCGGGGGTTTTGGGCTCGAGCGAGAGTTCACCCATCCAGTATTTCCTGTGCAGTGTTGGACGCTCGAGCGTGGGATTGGCCGCTCGAGCGGGGAGTTGGACGCTCGAGCGGGAGACCTGTCTGCAAAAGTTCTGGGAGTGTGCATCCGGAGCTCGAGCGGGGGATTGGCCGCTCGAGCGGGAGTCTGTGAGTGCCGCTCGAGCCGGGAGTTTGACGCTCGAGCGGGGCAACTTTTATATAAATCCGAGATCCGACTTTTGGATCACTTTTTCAAGATCTTTTCTCTCTCTTACTTTTCCAAAAAGCCATTTTCAAAGCTTCTCACTCTAAAACCGGCCCTTCTCTCTTAGATTTGATCTAGTAGAAGTTGTTTGCTCAGTTTTGGTCTCTACGAAAGTTGTGTTGATCGTCGAGGGTTACATTTTAATCTGAAAATTTCAAAATTTGAAGCATTTTGGTTTTGGTCTTCATCTCCATTGGAGCTCAAACTTTGAGGTAGGGATATCCTACTCATTTCTATGAGCTTTGTCTTTAAACCCCCAAGCTATGTCCTTGGAGTGGCATGCTACCTGTACCTGAAAATGATATTCCCATATAGGGTGAGCCACAGCCCAGTAGAAATACACTAAACCAAATATGAACAATGACTAAAAGATTAGCAGTTTAGATGGCCAACACTGATACTTTCTCTTATCACACTTTACAGTTATTGACATGCAAGTCCATGTTTACAATTCATTTTCCAGTTCCTTTCAATTCTATTTTTTAAACCATGGCTCAGAACCTGGCGAAACAACTCATATGAGACAATAACTCATATCAAGCACTTCCCCATTTCAATATAGATAAGCATACTAGCTATATCACAAACCAACAGATAAGCATACAAGCTATACATCAATTCCAAAGATATGCATATGAGCACTATCACACTTCTAAGATCAAGCAATATAGCTCTGTCAATACATCACTAGATAAGCATATGAGCTCTATCTACGGAGTCCATCCCCTATCTCCTCCAACAACATCCGGTTTAGAGTCCATCCCTATCTTCCCCTAAACCGTGAGTACATCCCCTGTCTCCTCCAACACAACAATGCATATAAACAATAATTATAACATCATCACACAACACATAAATTTAACGTGTTCTTTCAATCATCATACTCAATGACTCATTCCAGTGATTAGTTTCCGTTTGCCTAATCCTCATGCATTGTCTACAACAATCAAGACTATCCTCCACCGATAGCCAAAGCAGTTATTTCTATACAGAAAATAAATGCAACAATGGATATAATATCAACATTTCAACTAGCGTGAGCGATAAATATCCAACTACACCCTTTAACCCTTCCCTTTCCAATTTCACACTTCTCAATTCAATTCCTCATTTCCAACAATTAATTATACAAATTAATCAATCAATGTAATTAGGGCATTTTTCATAATTAACATTACAACCCTTAGGTTTCATTTTCATTAATGTTTTATCATTAATTTCACTTTTTCCATGCCAAACATGCATCTAGGCTTTATTTAGCTAAAACCCCAACCTTTGTAAATTTACACAAAAGCCCCAAATTTTCACCAAATTACCAAACCAACCCCAACATCTCAAAATTACTTAAAA